AAAAAAAAAAAAAAGAAAAAAGGAAGAATAATATTTGTCATATGAAGAGCACTCCTACAGGAAGCTGAGAATAAACATTTCCATTTTTGAATCATTTTTTACTAATTAAAGAAACCAAAATCTCTTGATATTCCATGTATGTATTTTTAAATCTGTGTATCTTCTGTATTTTTTTCTTATAAATTGTTAACATTGAGGCTTCTTTTTATTTGTTTGTTTTGGTCTTATCAGCACTACAGGCACCTCTCAAGCCTCTTCAGCCTTTCCCAGCAGTCTCATCTGGCAATCTTCCAACAAATGTGGCACCGTTAATAGTCTTTGATATTTCCGAAGAACAGAATTGTCCGGAAAACCCCAGTGCTACAAGATGTCCAGTGCCAAAACCAAGATCAAAAGGCAACCTCAGACCAGTTGCCAGAGATTCTCACATTAAAGAGCAAAGTCACCAGAAAATCAGCCCAGCAGCCATAGGAGAGGAGTCATCCCCAGGCCAACCCCAGTCTCTGCTGGACAACACTAGCACCTCAGACAGTCAGGCAGTAATGAACATTATGAACACGGAACAAAGCCAAAATAGTATTGTTTCCAAAATCAAAGTGTTTGAGGATCAGACAACTATAGAAACCTCAGGACTACCCAAGAAACCAGAAATTACTCCACGTTCACTTCCTCCAAAGCCTACTGTTTCCTCAGGGAAACCTTCTGTGGCTCCCAAACCAACTGCTAACAGAGCTTCTGGAGAGTGGGACTCTGGGACTGAGAACAGGCTCAAGGTGACCTCCAAGGAAGGGCTCACCCAATACCCTCCCCTGCAAGAAGCAGGAAGCATCCCAGTAACCAAACCTGAATTGCCAAAGAAACCAAACCCTGGCCTTATACGAAGTGTTAATCCGGAGATTCCGGCAAGAGGGCCCCTGGCTGAGAGCTCTGATAGTGGGAAGAAAGTGCCAACTCCTGCCCCGCGGCCTTTGCTGCTGAAGAAATCTGTTTCCTCAGAAAACCCCACCTATCCCACAGCTCCACTGAAACCTGTCACTGTTCCTCCCCGACTCTCAGGGGCATCACAAGCCAAAGCATACAAGTCCCTGGGAGAAGGACCCTTGGCCAACCCCCCAGTTCCAGTTCTGCAGAGCAAGCCCTTGGGGGACATCGATCTCATCAGCTTTGATGATGATGTTTTGCCCACCCCATCGGGGAACCTGGCTGAAGAATCTGTTGGTTCAGAGATGGTTCTAGGTGAGTGAAAAATCAGCAATGGAGGGGAGCTAAACTCATGATAGGATATTTTAAATGGCGCTTGCTCTTTTAGTTTCCAGTACATAAGTTATTGAGATGCATGCGTGTGTGTGTGTGTGTGTGTGTGTGTGTGTGTGTGTGTGTGTGTGTAGAGACAGAGAGAGACAGGAATGAACAGAGAGATCCAGAAACATGGAGCTAAGAGACAGGGAGAATGGAGACAGGGAGGGAAGGGAAAATACAGGATGGGGGTGATGGAGTCAGAAAGAAAGAGGGAGACACATGTATTGATTACTATTATGTGAGCCAGAAGGAAGCAGACTGGGACTAGGGACTAAAATATAATAGGAGCTAGGTTCTGCCTAGCTCCCCTCACTCTTGGCAGATAGAAGTTCAAGCTTCACACTGAAAGGATCCAGGGAGGTTGGACAACATGTAGAAGGATGCAGAGGAATCTTCTCATACATGGGAAGTCATGCAGTGGCCCCAGAGGGGCTCCTCAGATGAAATGGGCCCCAGCTGGGAGTGCTGGGAGAGGGACCAGTTCCAGGGGAGGATTCTGGAAAATGTACAGAATGAGGACCCAGCCACATGTTGCAAAATAGTTTTTTTAATCTTCACAGAACATCTTCCTTTGAGAGTAAAAAGTTTTGTAAATAAATACAACATTTGTAGGTTCGCTGCCAAGATCAGTACAATTAAATTTCCCAGAAGGCAGAGTGTGTTTTCCTTCCTCTCACTGTTCGGTTGGAGAGCGTGATGGTAAAGCTTATCTTTGTCTCGTCAAACTAAGCTGCTCTACTTGTCATCAATAAGATTTCTTTTACTGCTGTTTACTTATTTGGGTGGAAGTTGTGAACATATAAACAATGGAATTTTTAAAAGGTTAACTGTCACTGTATAAATATTTAACATGCCTCAAAATAGTACAGGCTCTGTGATTTCAAAACCAAATTCTGCACAGCACATGTGTATTTATAATGAAAGCAAACGTATACATTATTAATTAAATATTCACGCACAGAACATTGTAACTGACACACTACATTTTAGCATATAAATGAAAAGACATACATGGCTTTTGTCCATAAAGGGTCAAAGGTAAAACATTTGAATATATTAAGCTTCTGCAGTGTACCTAACGCTCTGCTAAATACTGAGGCATATGTTATTTTATTTAATAATTGCAACAACCCTCGTGAGATATCATTGACCTAAGTTTGCAAATGAAGATGGTGAGGCTGAGAGAGATCTGTGGATAACTTGACCAGTGTCATAAAACAATTGTCTAAGTCAGGATTCAAACTTAGTGTTTTTACTCTAAGTCTGGTTTATTTTTCACTATATAATGTTGCAACCCAATATTTTCATAAATCCTTAACCAGGCAACACTTTAAAAACTTTTCAAGTCTTTGATAATACCATTTTCTTATATAAACCTTTTTGGTGTTAACAAGATTCAGAGGACAAGTAAACCCAACAGCACCAAGCTGTTAAGGGGTGGAAACCATGCAAGCCAAAGAAATAATACCTTTTGTAGAACTCGCTAGTTTCTGTGGGGATAGGAACTTGACTAATAATTGCTGAGAATTTATTTTGTATCATCTAGCAGATAATTATAGTAATCCTCAAAAAGGAAGGTCAACAATATACTTTCAACATGAATACAGTCTCATGCTTCATACTCAGCCTTTTCTGCTTCTTGATTTCTACCACTTCATTGCACAACATTTAATTATTGGGGCATCTTTTAGCAAAGTGTGTAATTTGCTTGTACTATCTGACTTTAACCATTGCTCTTGACTATGGAGTTATACTGAGCTGAATACTACCTTCTTTCTAAACCTGCCTTTCTTCCTATATTTTGCAACTCACTAGTGACACCAACACGCACACCAGCCTTCCCTGGAGAAACCTAGAGATCATCATAGAGTCTTCTCACCATGTCACACAGTGACTAGATTGGAGTCTGCCAGGGCCTACTGTAATTGTTATGTGACCTCGGACAATTTACTTAACCTCACAGTGCCTCTGTTTCCTCATTTGTAAGACATAATCATACTCATCAGAGAGGGTATTGCAAGGGTTAAATGTGATTATGTAGGAAAGTGGTATCACACTATGTGAAACATGATGATCATTAAGTAGTAGTTATTGTTACTTCTCTGTCTTCGCATCTAATTAGTTACCAACTCTTGCTGCTGGTTTTACCTTCCAAATAGTTCTTGACTCTGCCTCTCCTTTTCATCCCTCCTTTTTCTTTCCCACCTTAGGCCTTTATGCTGTGATGACTGCAGTAGCCTCCTAAATTGAGCCCACTCAGACGAACCTATCATCTTCCACACTGTGGCTACCCAGGGGATTTTCTAGAATGTATACTTGCCCTGTTGCTTCCCTGCTTAGGCCCTCCAAAGGCCTTCAGTATCACCTCTGAATGCCTTGACCTGTGGAGGGATTTTCATTTGCTTTTTGATTTGGGGCTTTGTGACTTTTTGACGGTGTTTTGGTAGCACTGTCATTGTAAATAAAGGTTTATGGTCCCTGGGAAACCTTGCCTAATCATCCAGACACCAGGCAGAAACTGGGAGAGGAACACAGGAGAAAGAAGAGAAACTTACAAATACCCCTTCCCTTCCCTTTCTCTTACCTCAAAAATAAAGAAAATCTAATAAAATAGCATTCATAAAATGAAGTTGCCATATTAATCTCAAGCAATAGAGATCCAAAAATACTGAAGCTATGAAAACATTGTAAAGATTAGAAAAATTATTAAAGGAAAACTCATAAAACAGGCAATTTAATATTGGATTCATTTCTTGGGTAGAATGCCTTCCAGGTTAATGTAATGGAGCTGAGAAGTATTAGCAATTCTTCTTCATACCTCTCCAAAATCATACCCAGTTGTCAAAAAAAGCAGAATGTTTCTGCCATCAGCCCCATTACACAGACCAAAATAATAGTTTAGCAGCCAATTTCTGCTATTAACAGAACTCAAGGGAAAGAAATGACAGAAAAGCAAGCCAGAGATGGTGAAACTAATTATGATGACAAGCACATTATTAGAGACAGGTAATGGGCGGAAAACTACTTTATCATCAGTGTTTTTCTCAATCCACTAATGAAGACTGTGCAGATATAGGTGTAAAGAGGCCTGCTTGTTCGGCAGCAGGTGTGGAATAATTGGTGCTGATGTGAGGGGCAGAGGGAAGACAGAATACACACTGCAAATAAAAGTAGACAAAAATCCATTGTCTTGTCTTAGATTCAGATAGGAGATTCTTCTTAAGATGCTCTGTGGTTTTTTTGTTTGTTTGTTTGTTTGTTTTCCTATAGAAACAAGAGCAATCTGTGATAGAATTATGGCAGCAAGTTCTTAACCCTTTTCAGATTACCAGTATCTGAGAATCTGAGGTAACCTGAGACTTTTTTCTCTCCCTTGAAAATAGCCTTTAATTCAATGACTGTTTGGAGCTGTGAGAAAAAAAAAGAAAGAAAGAAAAGAAAATAGCCATTAGCTCATGTGTACACAGCTCACTGTGTGTACAATATCCAGAACTTCAAGGGCCCATTTTGGGCTCTAGATTAAGGACTTCTACTATAGAATATTGGAAATAAATGTCAATGAACTGCTTAAATTACAGTACATCCATAACAGTGGAGTATTTTGTGATAATTGAAAGAGGGGAGACCTATTACCCCCTACTGCAGACCAACCTCCAACATATTATTAGGTGAAAAATGCAAGATACAGGATAGTTTTTATGTTATTTTAGCTATTGTTTGTGTTAAATGTGAATGCAGTGTGCAGTGATGTATGAAAAGTTGGTAACAAAGGTTGTCTTCTGTGAAGGAACTGGATAGGAGAAAACAGGGAACCTGGTTTTCACTGTATGCATGTTGATCTCTTTTGAATTTCAGACCATGTGGAGGCATTACCTGTAACAAGATAGTAAAGCAATAATCTTTTTAAAAATAGCTGAACATAAGCATAATTAGGCTGAGAGAAACTGGGAGAATTATCTCTTGTCATCTTTGCCACTTCTGAAGAACTGCCTCCCCTAGTGACCCTCAGATTCTGATAAGTAGAAATTTTTAAAATAATAAAATAGTGATTTATCTAAAAGGTTATATTATTCAAGGTTACAAATACAAACTAGTTGTTATGAACTAAATATGTCTAAATTAGACAAATTCAAAATTTTATACCTGCATTATTTCCTTCTAAATTGAATCCAAAAAAGAGTTTTTATTTTTCTAGTTACTTTATGGAAAATTTTATGGCCATTATTGCCTTGAAAAAGTAATGAAAGAAACCAGAAGTTTCCTCTTTTGTTTTCTTATTTTTAAGTGGTTTGTTCTGGTTCGTTTGGCAGAAGTGTTATCTCAGCTTAATCTTCTAACTTTTTCCTTATGATTAAATTTATGTTATTGGATTTGTTTCAGTTAGAGAAGTAAAATATATTTGTTGTAACAAGTTAAACAATCAAGAGATTTTGGGTTAAAAAAATGTAATCTCCCCGCAGTGACCAGTGTGAACAAAGTATGCAGTCTTCTGTGCCTTTGGGCATGCCAAACCCAAGTTTACACATATCTACATAGTGGACTTTTTCCGGAAATCTTTACCATACTATACCTGTTACTCAGCAGAGTGCTTTCTTCTTTTTTTTTTTTTTTTTT